GTATACACCCAAATCTAGCTACTTCCGGTGGTGCTGTTGTAATTTTCAGAGGCTGCCTCAGAAACTCCCTCACCACTTCTCAAAGAAGAGAAACTTTTATAATAGGAAATCTTACGAAAATTGAGTATGATTTTACAAATACTGAAACAGGGACAGAAGTTCATTAACTCGGAAGCAATTAAGTAGAACTTGGTAGCTCCTGCTATCAAAAAACAGAAATGAATTGGAATCAGATCTGAGAGGTCTGTTCAATTTGAGGATGCCATTTAAACATTAGAAGATGTTTAAATTTAGTAATGGGCTACCATGGAAAATTGTGATTATCTGTCCTTGTTTCATTATGGTTAAAATACAGAACATACACACTTCTCCCCAGGGAACTGAACTAGGTGACCTCTGTATAGTACAGTGTTGAGCAAGAAGTCTTGCGCCACCATGACGCATCTGGCTCTCCCTTGCAGAGACCTTATTTATAAGATCCAGGCATTTATTACCAGGACACTCACTGTCTTACCTAAGACTTTTAAGATGACATGGCTCCACACATAGCGCCCTGAATTCTTCACCTTGCAGGTGTACCGGCCCTCGTCACTGGGCTTCAGAGGCTCAATCTGCAGGGAAGCATCTCCTGCCAGGAAATTGGAAGCAAAGGCCACCCGGCCCTTCTGTTCCTCAGTCAAGTTACTGTAGACATGACGACTGGAGTATGTGATCACCTGAGGGACAGATGGAGGCAGAGTAAAGCAGGGTGGCTCTCAGCTTTGTTCTCTGCTGAGCTCAAGATGAGGAAAGGGAATGCTCCTAATGGAACAAAGCAGTCAAACTTGGGGCTGATTCTAAGAATCCAAGAGACCTCTATTCTAAACAAAGTTAAATCCAGTATGTTTGTTCTAAGAATAAGAACACCTCATATTTGTGTTGCATTTTAACTATAAAGTAGTAATTGTCTCAGTAAGTGCTCAGAACCTTTCCATTTTATAGGTAAGGACTTTTCTTTTTGCCCCCCACCTTAAGGGAGGCACTGGAGATTGAACCCAGGACCATGTGCATGCCACGCACATGCTCTGCCACCGAGCTGTACCACCCACCCCCAATAAAGACTTTTAAATGTGAGTTAGAGGCTGAAGATCTCAGAGCTAAGTCCAGGAAAGAAGAAAATGCACAGAATGGTCTCCAGAGTTGACTCAGGAGAAGTGAGAGAATGGAGGCTAAGGAAGGACGGAGACTTACCCCCCACCCCCACATACCTTCCTAATTTTTGAGTTTCCTGCCACCTGCATGTGATCTGGTCAAAGTACATACACCCTGTGTGCTTGGTGCTTCTCCATCTGTTTTATGTCTCACAGTTTTTCCAAGTACGCATTATCTATCCCCATTTCCCAGGCAGGCAGCAGAAGAAGGGTTTGACACAGCCATCTAAAGCCATCCAGTTCATTGTTCTGGTTACCACCGTGACCTCTCCTTTTATTGTGCTGCTCATAGACTGCTTTCAGAAAGTTTGGAAATGAAGGAGAAAACGTGAAATGAAAAAATGTGTTTTGTCTTTTTGAAAATTTAGAGTTCAGCTGAAGTTAAAGAGCAGAAGTTAATGGTTAGAATCTAGGTCGGATACTCAAGGCTTCACTGGTAGACTTTCCTCCTTTCTTTTGGCTTCACTGTGGATCAGTAAGAGTAAGTTAGGTGGGAAAAAATTATATCCTTTCCTTCCACAAAATACACATAAGCTTCATGTTTTTGTTTTCCCAGGTGGGGAGACCAAAGTTGATTCCCCAACAGAAAAAAAAATGATTTTTACTGAATTTTCATCTGCCTGCATCACAACCTCTAGTTCTTGAACCTTTTCCTGGTTCACTTAGTCCAACACCTCCTGTTAATCACAAAAGAAAAAACAAAAACAAAAAACCATGCTGATCTAGTCTGCCAAGACTTGAAGCCATGTAACTTCAGTTTTGCCCTCCCTGCTACTTACTAGTCATATTCCTAAACGTACTTGATTTAAACATCAGCAAACTTTTATGGAATGACTGCTCCCCATCAGGTCAGGAGGAGGCTATTAAGATGCATAAAACCCCCTTCTTATCTTCAAGTAACTTATTATCTAGTTGGATTAACAAGGAGAGAAGTTTAAACATAGAAAATTAAAGAATGATTAACTTGAAATAGTATCCGAGAGAATGTCCCAGAAAAGTTGGTGGCATTTGAGTTAGGCTTTGAAAGATGAGTAGACTGAAGAAGAAATGCGAGAGGCAGGGAGAAGGTCGCTGGAGGGAGCATTCCAGATACACAGAAGGGCACCAAAAAAGAAGGCAGGCGAGCATATGGGAGCCCCCAGCACACTTTCAGCTGCAGCTGTTCAAAATTGTTTCACTCGGCTTTTAAGCCTGTAACCCATCCTCAATCACGTGACTCCCTACAGCTCAGAAAATGCTTTCCTGAAAAGCTTTGAAGCCATCCTATAAAATGGCCATAAATTCTCTCACCAGCATAGCAAAACTTTTCAGTATCATCCATTTTGCCCTTAGCACCTCTCTGAGAAAAGTGTTTTCTCCTTTCTCTGCATTTTTTTCTTCTCCAGCAAGTATTTGAGCACACATAGTGTGCTGCATACTGGAGACCCAGCAGGAGTAAGACACAGTTCCTACCCTGAGGACCTCACAGTCATGTTGGGGGTAAAATGGGGGAGAAGCGAGTATGAGAAAATTAAGGTAAACCCTGTAACCAGTAATACCATTCAAACGTTTTAGGTCTTCAGTTTTGCCCCCTCACTTCAATCCACACCACCACTGTGATCGTTCTGACATCCTTATCTCTACCGCCGGCACATTTTTGAGCTCCAGTGTTATATTTCCAGCTGCCTGGCCACTGCAGATGTCTGTCCTATCCAATCTACCCTACATAACAGTGTACCTTAATGCCAAGTTAATACTCATGTAAAACTCACACTAGCTCTTTTCCAGACTGAAAACCTTTCATGGCTCCCCACCACCTCTGAATGATGACCAGATTCAGTCCAGGGTCATCAAGATGACCCCTGCATCACTTTCCCAACCTCATTTCCTGTTTAGTCCCCCTCACATCCCTGGGTGCGTCCACATTACGTTCTTTTCCTTGCTTTCCTGTGAGCTGTGCTTGCTTTGTACTCATACACCTTTGCTCACAGCATTTTTTCACTTAGAAACTCCCTTTTCTCTCCACATAAAGGATTCATATCCATTCTTTTAAACCCCAAATCAGCGTTAACTCCTTCCTTGATATGATACTCAGACTAAGAATGGTCTCTTCTCTTTACTGTCATCCATGGCATTTCTTGGCATCATTTTTATGTGAGGAGAAATTCTGAAAGACAAGACGTTGAGCAGTTTCCTAGATCCCCCTTCTATGATTCTGGGCACGGTTCAGGAGACCCTTCGGGCTAATTCTGATTTTAATACACATTAGTTGCCCTTGACTGTCTTTGGCTAGGCTGTTTTGCAACCTCACAGTCCTTTATTCAATAAACATTTATTAAAAACATACTCTGCACTTGGCACTGTTCTAGAGATGATAGCAATACAAAGAAATGAGTTTTACAAGTGTTGTTGGGAACTAGCACGTCACCCCAAAATACACCACTTTGCATATGCATAGGATTAATTTCAACTGAAGGCATTTGAGCTCCTGAAATCCCTTAGCGTAAAAGCAGAGCCTCCCAAAAGAATTCAAGTGTCCATAAATCTCCTTTCCCAGGGCAACTCTAATCGTTCCTTCCGGGAGACCAGAAGTCGGCATCACACCCAGACAGACATTGTCACAAACTAGCATATCTCCCATCTGTTCTTCTAAGGGCCCATTTATCTTTCGAAAAAGTCTTTTCCAAAAGTGCCCTTTCTACCCCTCCCTTTTGTCTACTAAGTAAGGTATAAAAAGCCCTAATTCTAACCACTGCCTTGAGTTACTCATCTCCGGGTATTCCCTTGTGCTATATACATACACAATGCATGGTATGTATGCATACCATGCAATGCACGGTTCGCTCTTCTCTTGTTAACCTGTCTTTTGTCCATCTAGTTTACAGTGCTGCAGCCTGAACATCTAGGAGGGTAGCAGGAAAAAGCGGGACTTGAATCTTAAGCTAAAGGGATCCAAGATGACAGTCATTTATTCAACCACTTTTGAGCCTCCACAATGTGTCAGCACCTGTTTTAGGGGCTTGGGGTATCAGTGAGCACAACATGTAAAAATCCCAACCCTTTAGGAGCATGTATTCCAGTGATGGGAAACAGACATAGAAGAACATTATATGGCAGATTTGACAGCGAGAAATACTATGAAAATAATAGAGCCAGGAAGGTGGACTGTGGGCCAGGTAGAGACTGCAGTTTAATTAAGGTCATCAAGGTAGACCTCACCAGAAGATGAAATTAGAGCAAATACTTGAAGGAAACGTGGAACCAGTCTTGGAACTACTTAGGGGAAGAGAGTTCCAGGCAGACGGAAGAGCCAGTGCAAAGGCCCTAAGGTGGGAGGATGCTTGGCACGTCTGAGGTGCAGCAAAGAGGCCAGGGAGCTGGAGAGAGCCAGGAGGACGACAGGTGACATCAGGCAGTGGGGCCACTTCACCTAAGGGGCTCATGGTCCACTGTGAAGATGATGGCTTTTACTCTGAGGGAAAAAGGGGGAGGGCAGTTAGAGGGTTTTGAGCAGAAGAGTATCATGACTGGTCGATGTTTTGAAAATAGGCTGTAGGAGGCTGAGAGTGGATACAGGAAAACAAGTCAGGAAGCTACCGCAGTGAAGATCCAGGTGAGAGATAAGACGGCCTGGAGTGAAAACAATGGAAGTGATCAGAAGTGATCAGATTCTGAAAGTATTTTGAAGATAGAACCAACTAGATTTCTCATTAGACTGACTGATCACCTTATTTAAATGTATGTTCAGGGCATGAGAAGAAAGGGGTCAGGGACTACTTCCAGGTTTTTGGCCTGAGCCTCTGCAGGGAGAGAACTGCCCTTGACCAAGAGGGAGGAAGACCGAGCAGAGCAAGTTTGGGGTCAGAGTGTGTCGAGTTGGGAGGGGGGTCTGGAGTGTAGTTTTGGATTTACTCCCTTTGACATCCCCGTTAGACACCCAAAGGAGGTGTGGAGTCAGCAGGTGCATATGAAAGGATCTGCTGTTCAGGAGTGAGGCCTGGACTGGAAACAGGCATTTGGGAATTACCAGCGTGTGGATGGCCTTTAAAGCAAGAGACTGGGTAAGAGGGCCGAGGGCATGAATACAGAGACCAAGAACACAGACGGGAAAGTGAGACCATGCGTGGATGGGGTCTGTAAGCGAATCTGGGTAAAATACCACCAACCTTGGAGTGAAATAAATGACATCTTGGTTTTGTTTTCTTCTTAATTTAAATGAACCTTTAACTTTAGAATTGTTTTAGATTTACAGGAAAGTTGCAAAGACAGTTTAGAGAGTCCTTGCACCTCTCCCCCAGCTTCCTCTATGCGAACACCTCACTTCACTCTGATACGTTTTTCGCAGCTAGGAAACAGGACCGGCACTCTACTGTTAACTAAATGCTGCAGCTTCGTTCCAGTTCCACTCATTTTTCCTGAAGACTTTTGTCTTGATCCCACCCTTCAGCTTAACATTCAAGTCCAGCCTTTGCTCACATGTCCAGCCTGACCTCTGGGTGACAACTCCCTTCCTCCTGCCTTCTCTTCCGAGACTCAGTGGGTCGCCCGGATGAGCTTTCAGGGAGACTTCAAACCAAGGGAGGAGGCCTCGGAGGAGTGGGGGCAGGGAAGCCGCCTTCAAGAGATGGAATTCCTCTCGTTATCAGAGCCTTGAGGCTCTCTCCCCAACCCAGCCTGAAAACTCCCTCCTGCCCCACTCCGTTTACACCAAAGGGAGGAGCCTCCTGAGCATCGTCTTCATGCTGAGAAAAATTCTGGGAAGTACAGGAAATGCATGATTTCAGTCAAATGGCCAGTGTTGACTCCCAGGCCCATGTTTTGTCTTGAATTTTTTTTTTTAATGGAGGTACTGGGGAAACGCTCTACCACTGAGCTATATACCCCAACCCCTTGTCTTGAATTTCTGCATTCTTTTCAGTAGAAGCCGAAAGCTCTGGGAGGAGGGCCAGCGGACTTTAGCTCCTGGAATCTTGAGTTCAGATCCGAGCTCTGAAATCCATCTTGGACGAGGCCTTCACTTTTGCAAGTCTGAAAGGGTTAGAGTCCAAGTCATCTGGAGATGAATTAGGTCTAATTTCCACCACGTATTAAAAGAAAACTACTATAACAGTCCTTACCCTCCCCGCTTCTCAGGCTTGTAATAAGAGTCAAGTCTGAGAGCCGATGTTTGTGAAGGGCACTGTTCCTTCCCTCAGCGACCGCTGAGCGACTCCCCTGCCAGCACAGGGCTCAGCTCTGTGCTCAGGGAGGTGTGGAACTGAAATGTTGAACTGAATTGAACGAATTAGATGTAGAAATGAAAAACCATCAACACAGTACAATACACCCAGTCAAGGATTTTTGTTTTTACTTAGCAAACACTTACGTGGTATTTATTTTGTTGTAGGCACCTTTCTAAACACTTAGCAAATATTAAGTCCCTGCGTTTAGGGGAAAAAAAGGCAGCATGATGACAGTGAAAAGTTTAAGATTACGGAAGTAGTCTCGCCAACAAACTGCTTAGAGTTGAGGCTATTCTTTGGCTTAATAAATATTTGTAGAATGCCTTCTACAAGCTGGGTACATATATCTTAATCTGAAACTGGGGCCCTGCTGTTTAATCCCGTAGAATGGGGTAGCTCTGCGGGGCCCTCCTGTAGTCACTAATTAACGACTGCGTTTGCCACTGAGGCCGGGCAACCCAGGGGGAGCTCCTAGGGCCAGGCAGAGGTTTCTGTCCTATTCTTATCCCTTAAAATGCAACCAGCCTCTTGTGCCAGGCCGTGGCCAGCACCATTTCTGAATAATTTCTTAGTCCCACCTCACCGCTTTTTGTTTTTCTCCCAATCAGATTAAAACCTATGAACTCTGACCCAGAAAAATGTACAGAACATACTATTTTGCAAATAATGCCATAGGGTTCCTAGCGTGCAGCTTAAAGCCCTGTGCTTTAGACGGAGGCCAGGAAGGGCTAGGGGCCCAGCCTTCTTTTCCCGGTAGGGTACTTTGTTTTAAACAACAAACGGTGTGCTTGGCCCCACATCCTGTTTCACTGGCGGGAAGAATAGGTTCCCCGCAGGGTTGAAGGAGCTGCCATAGAAATGCCAAACCAGTGGGACAATGGGGAGAGGAAGAAATACACTAGCACCAGGAAAGAACTGGAAGTTTCAGAGCTTACCTCGTCTCTAGGACAGAGAGTGGGGGCTGATATTTGGAGGTAGGACAAGTAAGTATGGAACTCTTATTAGGCACTCAATTAATGTGATTTTCTTTCCTTCTGACTTTCCCATGTTTGTCTACATTTATGTAGGTGCATAATCACCTATGAGGAAGGCGGTGTGTGCTTCTGAAGAAGAATGAAGAGATTCTACACCTGGATATCAGTCAGGAGCTGGGGGGTTTTTAGGGACTTTGGGGTTTTGTGGGCTGTGGGAGGCTGGTGACCTTTGTGGTCTAGGGGATTCCTTCCTTGTCCATTTTAATACTTAGATTAATATCCGAGGATACCTTTGTCTTCAAAGTTGCTTTTGACTTTGGAGAGCCTTAAGAGGTGTGGTCCAGAGTTGAATCTGTCTCCTTTGGGCTGTTAGAAGTTCATCACCCTAGACGCTTTCAATCTTTTGAACAGGTTCAATTAAGAAATAGATTTTTCTTCATAACCCAGCACACACAGAGCACACACATATATAACTGAAACATAAGTGTCATGAAACACTGTATGTGCAATATACTCTGGTATTTTCTAGTCTATGTTAAAACAAAACATCTGGTCGCTTACGATCCACTACTGAGGCTTAATTTTGGTGATGTGTTTTTGGGTGTTTTTTTCAAACAACATTTTTTCGGGTGGGAAGATAGTTAGGTTTTTAAAAACATTTCTATTTACTTTTTTAACAGAGGCACTGAGGATTGAACCCAGGACCTCATGCATGCTAAGCACATGCTCTAACACTGAGCTCTACACTCCCCACTCGGAGTCCTAATTTTGGAAAAATGCTACACCAGGGCACAGTGACTAAGAGAGCTGAAGTTAATGGTCTTCTGTATTCAAACAGGAGCTCCTCCAAGTACAGCTGTCTGTAATGAACCTTTCTAAACCTTAAGGTCCTCACTGGTCAAATGCGGATAAGCTACTTCATAGCATTTTTGTGGGAATGAGATAGTAAGTGCTCAGGATCACTTTTATTAGACTGATTCTGGGTTCAAGAAAGCCCAGTAGGTTTCCAAAACTGTCCATCCCATTACCCCACAATATTCACCGTTCCATCCATTTGTACAGCAAAGCTCGCCTGGCTAAAAGCCTCCATTGTTTCTCATCACCAGCGCACCCTGTGGTCTGCAGTCTGATGCTCTGAATGCGGGACCACGCCTCTTCTTTGGCCCCTGCCCTCTCATCTCTGAATAGCCTAGTCCCCCAAACTCGAGGCCCGTGATTCTGAACAGCGCCCTCTGATGTGTCTTTGTCTTAGATCACACAGTCTTCCCCCTTCTGAACTGCCTCTCCTTCTTTTGTTTTCACCTCAACAGTAGCAACTCAGACCTCAAGATCAAGCTTGAGGGTCACCTTCTGTGTCTACAGGCTTCCCTGGTGTATTGCTTTTCCCTCCTGTTCCCCCAAATCCTGTCCTAATATCTTACGAAGGAAAAAGCGACAACTACAGGTAAGTATTTAACATCTTTGGAAAGCGGAGATTCTTCAACTCCAAGATAATCTTTATATAATTAAATAACCCTTATTAAACATGAGATTTTCACAACACTTCTGACATGGATTGGGGCTTAGTTACAGCTGTGCAATTTGGCTAATTTTTTTTTCAGATCTACGTTGAATCTCAGCTGCTTGTGTGTCTCTCTGTTCTACTCTGTCTTTAACTCTAGGGAACATAGTGCTGAGACAAAGCCGTTGATCAATCTGGGTGCAATGGGGGAACAATGCACCTAAATTTAATCCTTTTGCAAACAAACAAGAAATTAAATATATGAATCACAGCTGTTGTGGGGCTGCCTGTCTTACGACATTCCTGGTGGACCTGCTCCGGATGCATTTTTAGGGAGAGAAGGCAGGACAATTTGTTAGGATGGAACAGATGGATCCGCTCAACTTCCTGGCAGTTGCTCCACATGCCATGCCCTGTGTAGCAATCGTGAAACTGCCTTGAAGGAGATGGATGGAGACCCCTCACTCTATGTTTTAGGTTCAGATTTTTCCTGCTCAAAGCCAAAGAGGAAGGGAAGAGGCGAAAGAGTGGCCAAGAGGGTTAGCATGGGAACTGGAACATCTATGTCCTGATTTCTCCATATTTTCTGGAAAATAGAGGGGAAAGATTTCTGTTGTGTGTTCATGACTCACCTTGGAGGAGCTGTTCACTCTTACTTTGGAGATTCTGTTTCCATCTCTAGAACCAGGAAGAAAGCTCTCGAGTTCTAATGGCCACGCTGTCTAGGCTGAAATTCAAATATTCCTGGGGCTTCATACCTACCCCTAAATGTTCCCTGCATATCTGCACATCTGAGACAAAAGGGGTGAAAATGTTTCTGTTCAGACTGAAACGCAGAGCTAACCCTGGGATCCAGGTCTTTGTTTAGACACCACATCTGTTCCGACCCTTCCTGTATTTTCGTTCTCGGTCCCTCTCACTCTTGCTCCAGGCACCCTGGCAATTAACAAGCTTTGGCAACTTTACCCACTGTTTGTTATGCCAGCTACCCACAACTGGCGTTTAAGCCTGAAACTGTTCAACTGATCTTGCTTTTTCACACAAGTCCCCCTTAAAACAGCGTGCCACACATAGATCAGTGTGCCACACAGTGCCAGAGTGATCACTCTACAATGCAAAGATGCCCTTTTCTCTCTGAAAATCCTTCAAGAACGCCATGACATTCTAGGAAAAATTCTAAGCTCCCTAGTAGGTAGGCAAGACCTTTCAATTTCAGGTCCTGCAGCCTGCACAGGTTCCCACTGGCACTCCACCCAGACCAGCTGCTTAGGAGTTCCCAGCTTGTGAGCTCCTCAGGGCAGGGCCTTCTGGCAACGTGAAGGTCAACCATGCCTTCTTACAAGAAGCACACCTTGACCTCGCCCCTCCTCCAACTCTTCTTGGCCAGTGGCTTTTCCTTTGTTTTCATCTAGAATACTCTGCGTATCTCTGTTGTGGTATGTATCTGTTCTAGGAGCTCCTTTATAAAAGAGAGAGTGTGTATCGTGGGAATCCAATATTTATTAAATTTAACTAAATTGATTCTTGATCTTTTAGAAATTCCAATAGCGGCAAATTTTTCCCAGCATCAGGGTCTTTGCACAATTAGGTCTGTCTGGAATACTGTTCTCCCCATCCTCTTCTTATTTCTGTATATAGCACATTTTCTGATTTCAAGTTATTTATAAAGGTAATGCAGCTAGTGGTTAATAGCCCAGGTATTGATGCCACAGTGCTTAATGTCAAAAATGGGTGACTTTAAGCAATTTCTAACCTTGTATGTGTATGTGCACGTGCCTCGGGTCCTTATTTGTAAAATGGCACTAATAATTCTAGTTATGATGATTAAGTTAAATGAGATAATATGTGCCAAACAGATCTGTGCCCAGCATGTAGCTAAGACTTATTGCTTTGTACTTAAATTTTTTTTTGATTATTGAATGTCATTCCACAGTAAGCTCCAAAATGGCAGGGACTCTGATATTTTGTTCGCTATTACACCTCAGCGCCTACCGTGGCATAGAGTAAGTGCCAAATAAATTCACATCATCTGAATGACTGACTAAATGACAGTCCTTACATCAGGGCATTAACTGAAGATAAAAGCAGGGAACTGTGACTGCTTATCAAAGAGCTACCGAAGCTGTATCAGTGGCCTTCTTTAATCAGCCCTTAGGTCCACTTGGCTACATAACCAAGCAGCT